TATTTGCCAAAATCCCTTGAAAAATTAAATTAAAAAAACCAAAGCTCTCATAGTCACTCATTTGTTTTGGAGTGATAGAGAAAGATGATATATTATAGCATTTATTTCTCATGTCTTTAATAGTAAAAATAGTTGTATTAACTTTTTATCAAATGATAATTTTCTACATATAAATCGAAAACTGCTGCTATCTGACAAATTTTGGAGAGATTAACTTTCTTTGAAAATACAGAAGCTTGTGTGAAATTTTTTCTTTTAAAAATATTTGTTTTTGCTGATAACATGTTTAGCAGCACAGCCTGGCCTTTTTCAGGCAAGATACTGAGCCAAAACCTCAAAGAATCACAGCAGAAAAACTGAATTCCCCCTTTCTCCCCTATTCCATGATGTAGTTAGTAAGAACCCAGCTGGGTAAACCTTTGGGGGAGGGAAACTACTTTGAACTACTTAGAACTTTAAATTCCTAGGTACTTTATTTTTTATAGCTATTGTAAATGAGATTGCTTTTTAAAATTCTTTTTTAGATGATTCATCATCAACTTAGAGGAATGCAACTGATTTTTGTATGTTGACTGTGTATCCTGAAACTTTGTTGAATTCACTTAATAGTTCTAATAGTTTTCTTGGTGAAGTCTTTCTGATTTTTAGTGTATAAGATCATAACTGTAAAGGGACAATTTGACTTCCATTTTTCCAATTTGGATGCCATTTATTTATTTCTTTTGCTTGAATACTCTGGCTAGAATTTCCAGTACTAGGTTGAATAAAAGGAGTGAAAGTGGCCATTCTTTTCTTGTTCCCCTTAGAAAATTTCAGCTTTCTCCTCTTCACTATTATGTGAGTTGTGGGGTTATTGTATTTGATCTTTACTATACTGAGGTATGCATACCTTCTGAACCTAATTTGTTCAGTTTTTTATCATGTACGGATATTGAATTTTATTCAATGCTTTGCCTCTACTGAGCTGATCATATGGACTTTTGTCCTTTATTCTGTCGATATGATGTCTCACATTTATTGATTTGCATATGTTGAACCATTCTTGCATCCCTGGGATGAATCCCACTTGATCATGGTGAATGATTCTTTGGATATGTTGTTAGATTTGGTTTACTAGTATTTTGTGGAGAATTTTTTCATGAATGTTTTTCAAGGAAATGTATGTAGTTTTCTTTATTCATGTTCTTGTCTAGTTTGGGTCTCAGGATAATTCTGACCTTGTAAAAAGAGTTTGGAAGAGGGGCTGGGGCTGTAGCTCAGTGGTAGCACACTTACCTGGTATGTGTGTGGCACTGGGTTCGATTCTCAGCACCACATATACATAAATAAATAAATATCAACAATTGAAAAATATTTTTAAAAATTTTAAAAAAGAGTTTGTAAGAGTTCCTTCCACCACTTAATTTTTTTTTTGAATAACTGAAAAAGAATTGGTTCTTCCTTAAAGGTTTGGATGGACTGCATCAGTGAAGCTGTTTGATTCTAGGTTTTTCTTTGATGGGAGACTAATCCAGTCTTGCTGTGGTTGGTCTGTACACGGTTTTTCTATTTCTTCATGATTCAGCCTTGGTAAGGTGTATGTGTCAGGAATTTTTCCATTTTCTCTAGGATATCAAATTTGTTGGCTTTTGGTTGTTCATGATAGTCTTCAATGATCCTTTTCAATTCTGTGGTATAAATTGTGATATCTCATTTTTCATCTCTGATTTTGAGTCATTTTTTTAGTCTAAAAGTGTCATTTTTGTTTATGCTTGCAAAAATCAACTCTTAATTTTGTTAATTTTTTTCATATTGTTGTTTTAGTTTCTCTTTCATTTATTTGTGTTCTGACTTTTATTAGTTTTTTTCTTCTGCCAACTTTGGGTTTGGTTTGTTTGTATTTTCTTTTTAGTTCCTTGAGATGCAATGGGCTATTTATTTGAGAACTTTCTGCTTTTTTCATGTAAAAGAAAGTCAAGATTCCCATGAGCCTATGTGCAAAAATTCTCAACAAAATAGTAGCTAACCAAACTCAACAACACATAAAAATGTTATTCACCGTCCTCAAGGGGGATTCGTCTTAGGGATGCAAGAAGGGCTCAATATATACAAGCCTATCAGTTTTCCTCTTAGTTTCCTATACCCCCTAGGTTTTGGTATGTTGTATTTCCATTATCATCTATTTCAAGAAAATTGTATATTTTCTTCTTAATTATTTCACTGATCCATTGGTAATTTGGGTCCGTTTAAGTTCCACGTATTTCTAAGTTTTTCTTGTTACTGATTTCTAGCTTTATTGCATAGTGATTAGATAAGATACTTGATATGGCCTACTGTATAATCTCTCCTGGAGAATGTTTTTGTGCTGCTGAGAAGAATGCATATTCTGCAGCTGTTGGATAGAATATTCTGTAATGACGGGTCCATTTGGTTTCTGGTGCAGTTTAACTCTGCTGTTTCTTTTTTGATTTTCTGTCTAGATGATATGTCCCCAGCTGAAAATGAGATCTTAAAGTTCCCTGCTATTATTGTGCTGGAGTATGTCTCTCCCTTTAGGTCTATTAATATTTGCTTTATATATTTGGGTGCTCTGATATTGGGTGCATATATATTTAGAACTGTCATTTACAATCTTGCTGAATTGATCCCTTCATCATTCTACAATGACTTTCCTTGTTGCTCTTTAATACTTTTGATTTAAAATCTGTATCTAAATATCTAAATGATCTATCGTACTCAAAATAAGTATGACTACTTCTGCTTTCTTTTGGATTCTAGTTGCACAGAATTTCTTTCCCTGTCCCTTCACTTTCAGTCTATACATGTCCTTAGAATGAAGTATTTCTTGCAAATAGTGACTAGTTGGGCCTTGTTTTTAAATCCATTAAGGTATTCTGTGTCTTTTAATTAGAGAATTTAATCCACTTGCATTTAAGGTAATTATTGATAGGTTAGGTCTTATTACTGCTGCCTTCCTTCCTTCCTTCCTTCCTTCCTTTCCAGGGGATTGAACTCAGGGCACTCAACCACTGCGCCACATCCCCAGCCCTGTTTTGTATCTTAGTTAGAGGCAGATTCTCACTGAGTTGCTTAGTGCCTCACCATTGCTGAGGCTGGCTTCGAACTTGTGATCCTTCTGTCTCAGCCTCCTGAGCCGCTGGGATTACAGGTGTGCACTACCACTCCTGGCTCTTTGTTTCCTTTATGGCCTTCCTTCCTTCCTTTCTGTTTGATTTTCATAAATTAATCTTTCTCAGTGAAATTTGTTTTTCTGATGAATTATGAATTGTTTCTCTGTATTTTTTTGCAGTTCATTGTGTTTTTCTTAAACAGCTATTTTGAATCTCTGAGTGTTCTTACATGTTGGTTGCTTTATAATCAGTTGCTGGTATCCATTTTCTTTTTCTCCTTCTCCTCCTCCTCCTGCTGAGGATAGTACCTGAGGCTCCCCACATGCTAGGCAAGCAGTCTTTCACTGAGTCATGCCCCAGCCCTTCTGGTGTCTTATTTTGTCTATTAGGTGATGTTTTGATTTTCTGCAATTTGTTAATGCTCATTAGTGTGTGTGATGTCATATGCATATTAAAGGATTAGGTATTATTCCAGTCTTTATAATTTGTCTTTGTGCCCTTCTTTCCAGAAATTCTAATTTATTTTCTCTGAGCCTGTGGTCACTGTCACTATTTCAGCAGTAGATGGTACCCTAAGTCCTGAGGTGCCATTGTGTTGTTCAAGACGGCCGAGGGATATATCTGAAAGGGCAGTCCTTCTCTATAAGCCTTCTTGTCAACCATCCAGATGCCTTGTCCATGGTCAATGATCTGAAGTCAGGCACCATAGAATTTTGCCTGGCACAGGCCTCACTGTGGAAGGTCCAGAAACAACTAGTGCCTATCTCCCTCTTCATTCTGCAATGGACAGTAACTCTCTCCATGTTGTGCTGCCTGGGATTGTGGAAAGGATGGGCAGTCCCACGGACACCATGGCTGCTTCAGTGCCAGTTCATATCAGAAGCCAATAGTCCACTGATACCAGTGCAGCATGAGGCAGGACCAAGGCCCTTCCTGCTATGACCTGCCTGCTGCTGTGGTTTCTTTGTGGCCCAAGACCCCTGCAGCTGATTGGATGTGAAGTGGGCTAAAATGCAAGGCTGTCCTACTGGGGACACAGGTCTCTGCCTGGTGAAGGGTGCATACACAGGCTTTGTCTAAGTCAAAGACTGGGGGTAGGGGCTATAGCATTACTCCCAGTACTGAATGTCACTGTGGTACACCTGGCACTTGGTTTCGTGTCTAAGGTCTATATTCCTCTCTCAAGTGGGAGGTGTCCTTCTCTACATTGTGCTGCTTAGAGTTGAAAGAAGGGTAATGTGAGCAATTCTTTCCTTGTTGCCTTTAAAGAATCTTTCTTATTTGTATGCTAAAAGCAGGTACTGTGATCTCCCATAGCTCTTGTGAAGGTACTTTCATGTGTGAATAGTTCTTGAATTGATGTTTCTGTTGAGATTCAATCTTTGGAGGCTCTTATCCCACCATCTTACTCTGCCCCTTTATTATTAAAATATTCTTTTAATTTACTATTTAAAAGAATATTCATGCAGAAGAAATGTTTGATGTTAAACTATATTTCAAGAATAGTTTTTTATTATAATTCTTTTGTTTTACAGCATCTGTTTTATACACACACACACACACACACACAGACCTGGTGTGTCACAGCCAGCTTGTACTGGCTCACAAAAGCCTACTGTTATTTACAAGCGTTTTATAAGAATATTGATGTTAGAAAAGTGACTTGAAATTAGTTTCAGTGGCAGTATTTATATCATGAAAATTGGCAAATGCTACAAATCAATTCCTTTTTTCCCCCTTATGGAGAGTTAATTGCTAAATGCTTACTAGTTTGTTTGTCCCCCATGTATTTACTGAAATAAAATAAAGTGCTGTTTGCTTTGAAAATGGTGTTTATATGAAAATTTACTTGGGAACAAATTAGTTAATTTTTTCCCTCTGCATTTTCAGGGATACGGAAAGACCGAAGAGGAGGAAGAATGTTGAAACACAAGCGTCAGAGAGATGATGGGGAAGGCAGGAATGAAATAGGACCCTCTGGAGAAATGAGAGCTGCCAACCTTTGGCCAAGCCCCCTCATTATTAAACACACTAAGAAGAACAGCCCTGCCTTGTCCTTGACAGCTGATCAGATGGTCAGTGCCTTGCTGGACGCTGAGCCCCCCCTAATCTACTCTGAGTACGATCCTACCAGACCCTTCAGCGAGGCCTCCATGATGGGCTTGCTGACCAACCTGGCAGACAGGGAGCTGGTTCACATGATCAACTGGGCCAAAAGGGTGCCAGGTAAGAATGCTAAGCTCAGCTTTTATTTTAAGAGTCTTTTTAAGAACTGATTGCAATTTCATGGGAGAAATAGTGGGAGGAAAAGAAACAATACTTGTTATCTCATTAGTTTCAAAGCTACATCAGAATTTTTCATATCAATACACTATAATTCTCCTAGAATTTAGGAAATAGCATTTTAATATCAAAACCTAGAAGACTAAAATGCTTGATCTGACAAAACTTATTTTTAAGCCATCTTATTTGCCAAAAAGATTTTGAGTAGACACTACATGATGAATGTATTACATATCATATATGCATGCTGTCAGAAGTGTTTAATACTATAGGACCTATAAAAGATTTTAATATTGAGCACTATCATTCAAAAACCTCAATTACTAATAAATTATTTTCCTGAAAATATTTTCTTTAAAGATTTGTCTGAACTAGAGACATAATACTAATAGATTTATTCACTGAATGCCTATTATTTATCCAAACTGACATATGCATAGTAGAAATGTAATTGAAAAATAAATTAGGGCATTGTCTCTGAGAAGAGCTTGTGGAAGGACCCAATGGTGGAAGTGACATTTCTGTTGATTCTCTCAGAAATGGTGTTTCCATAAAACTCAACTGCTGCTCTTGCTGTTCAGAGAAGAGCTCTAATTAGTAGGGAAACCAGATTCCTCCATGTCCCAACACATTCATTATGCATATCAGGAAGTTTGTACTAAGGCAAGAGGAAGTTAAATCTCTTTTGTGGGCTTATTGGTCAAATGAGTAGTGGATTTAGATAGAGATTTTCTCATATGGTTTCTCCTACCTATGAAGTGTGGAACTTTTTATGAAACTAAAATAATGTGAAGTTTTGTGAGCACATCTCTAAGGTCACTGATATGTTATAGGTTGAGTAGACCTATGTCTGGCCTTAAAGAACCTTACAGGTATTGCATATATCAAATTAATATATAAGCATGTGGTCCTTTGAATAAGAAGCCATCTATATTGTGATCCACATTCCTTAGAGCACATCCAATACACTTAGGTAATGGTTAGGGTAGTGAAGATTGGCTTACAGGGAAGTCTGGGGATTAATGGGCAAATTTAGGTTTTTCAGGGTAAGTCAACCTGGTAGACAAAAGCTCCTAACCATTTTTGGAATTAAGAGTTTTATTGAACATATATATATTTTACCATTCTTAAGTGAAGTAGACACGTCATCCATAAATTGTAATCTGGATGTTATGGGGCTATAGGTTTTGCTTGAGAGCTAACTCTTGGTTGCTGTTTATTGTTCTGTAAAGGTATATTTTCCCTTATGAAATTTTGGCAATATTACTATCTGAGTACTTCTCAACTCAAGTCTGTACTTTTGATATTTATCTGTAGATTACCATTGTGGAATTTTTTATAATTATAAAAATTTAAAATCATTTGAAACAACTCTAAGTTCAAACACAGTACTAGTGGATGAAGAATTCATGGTAATAATATTCTGAATTTAGGAATAAAATAGGGACTCTGTCAAGGAAAAGAAAATACTTTGTCCATGTTTAGCTATTGCATCATGAACTCAGTACTAGGTAAATTTATAGTAATGAGGTATGTTCAAAAATACCCTGTAACTCCCTTATGTTAATTTAAAAGATCTAGATGACTCCAAAAATCCTTGAACCAAACTCTATTACTTGGTTATTTATTTTTAAAAAGAACTACACAGGCAAAATTAAATTATATACAGTCATGTACTCCATAATGGTGTTTTGTTTAGCAAAGGACCACACGTATGATGGAATTCCCATGTGATTTTATCAGCTAGTGATGGTGTAGCTGTTTGTGGAAGTACGTTTTATGATGTTCACACATGATAAGATCACCTAATGATGCATTTCTCAGAATGTATCCCTGCCACTAAGTGACACGTGACTGTGGGGGGTTGGGCGCGCGCGCGTGTGTGCGCCATTGGAATAGAGCTTTTATAAGTCAAAAGCCTACTTGTCTGACCAATTGGAATAAAAATAGTCATTGATTTTAAAAGAATGAAGAGTAAGAGAAGAAAAAGTTGTCCTGGAAGAATTCTGAAGGCAATTGTCAAGATTTTCATTAAAATTTGAGAAAGCCGCATTTTAAAAAGATTTTATATCAAATATTGTCAGTCATTTAAAAAAATAGTTTACACTAAGAATCAAATTCAGACAATGTTACATTTATGTGGTATAATTTGAGAGTCATAATAATGGTTACTTTTAAAAGACAGGATGGGAAACATCATCAGCAAGCAGAATAGTGGAGAAGCCATTTCTAGAAATACCCAGAGTTGGTCTTTAGACCATCCTCAGAATGGCTATTAATATAACAGAAATTATGAACAGACCTCATTTTGAGTGATGAATTTTAATAAAGATAATCAAACTTTGGGCTACTTTAGTAGTTCTAGATGTATTTTTTTTTTTTTTTACTAATAACAAATTGTCAGAATTTTCAAGTACTGGTGACTGTAAGTTGAAATTCCTTTTGTCTTAATATCTTGGAATATTTTGACATATATCTTTATTAAGAATTAAGATGAGAAGAGTTTTAAGATAAAATACATCACACAATCTTGATAGTCAAGTTCCAACCTATAGAATATTTATTATATCAAGCCAGATTAAACATGACTTTAAGGATTTAATTTTCCCTTCACAATTTACAAACAAAGCCACAACAAGAATGTGAAAACCTTCCTACTCAGCTCTGAGAAGTGATGCTTTTCTATAATATATGCTATATGTCTGCATTTTATTATCTAGCTATAGAGGTTTTTCTCTTTATTGTTTGATCTGTTATTCTTCAATATGCATTTTATAGTTAACCATAATGGAGATTAACTTTAAAAAATATATTATTAAATCTTATTACTATTATCCTGTGCATAGTGAAACTAGTCAATAAATGAAACATCATTCAGCCTGATCACAAAGGGGGAAATATTACTACAAAGTTGTTATACTTCTGATATCTATCTGCATCACTTTCAGGGACATGGATGAATGGTTGACTCTTAGTTTCAGTGTTAAAGAAATACATTTGATTCTTTTTGGTTTTTGCTAGAAGCTTGAAAGGCAGCAGCAAAATGTCACTTTGACTTATGAAAAATTAAGTCTTTTCCAAAATGCACCATAATTTTATGTACCTCCAAAGCAATTTCATTCTTACAATTTGTACTCTAGTTTCTACCTATTGAATTGGGAATATAGATTTGGGATGGATACCCCAAGGCAGATTGCCTTTTAAAAACTGATACCCAGAAACCCGACAGCCCTGAACTGCTGGGCACAGGTGTGAGGTGTCCAAGGAGTAGGCTAGAGGCCTGGCCAAGGGAGGAAGTAAAGGAGAAGTGGCTCTGGAGCCAGATTCCATGGGACTCATTCAACCTTAACCACTTCCTCATTCTTTTAGGGGCAAACTAGTTATTTTCTCCTTTCTTGCCCATCCCTCTCAACACAATGCTAGAGTCCCTGCTTCCTTCTGGGCTCTGACTCCTGCCCCCATCTTACTTCACATTCTCTCCTTGCTCACTTTTGGCCCCTGGGGTAGAGGATCCATTTTGTGGGGATGTGCCCCCCACCAGCTCCAAGCTCAGTGTTTCAGCAGTTTCTGTATCATCTCTGACGGCATGATTGTCTCAGCCACCCCAGGGATTGAGGCTGCTGCTTCTCCTGTATTCCCCAGGAATTCAGCAGTTAGCTTCCCTGGCTCTAAGCTCAGCCTCCTCACTCAAACCAGTAATGAACGGAGCTCAGGAAAGGCTGGAAGGAGCAAGTACACAAATGAAAAGTAGCTTTTGAGATGCCTGATTTTGAGACATCTGAGCCCTGTTAGAAGTCAATACCCCTTCAACCCATTCTGTAAGGCTGTGGCGTTCCTTCACCTCTCTTCTGAATCTACGGGATGTTCTGACATCTCTCTGGCAGCTGCCTTGGTGAGACTCCAAATTTCCATGCTTTCTTTTGTTAAAGAGCAGAGATGTCCAGAGAAAGGTGCAGACAGGAGCTCTTTAACAGGAAGACTTTAACAGGCTTCAGGTGTCTGTCAGCAGGTGAGTTCACTTAGTGAGTGTAACTGAAAACTTAAATGGGTAGGGACAAGAGGACGGCGGGTGGGGCACAGTTCCTCCATCTGGGAATTGGGAGCATCTAGTAGGAACATATTCTATTCTGGGTGGTTCCTGTGGATTCCAGGGAGGAGGCAAAGCTACCCAGTACTCTTCTTCCCAACTACAGCTAGACCAGTAGACCCTACTCTTGGGCGGCTGTGGTTCAACTGCTTCAACATGGCACAGCAATGAGGAAACTTGACATGGGAATATGGGTGACATACTGGTGACAGATGCATACGCTTAAGGGCAAGATTTGCTGTTTTGCAACCATATCGCTTTGCTACAATAAGAGTGTATTCTTTTTTCATCTCTGTGACCAAAGTATCAGAGAAAACTAACTTAAAAGAGGAAAGATTTACTTTGACTCACAATTTCAGAGGATTCAGTCCATGGTTGGCTGGCTCTGTTGCTCTAGGCCTGAGATGAGGCAGAACATCATGGCAGAAGGGCATGGTATAAGAAAGTTGCTCACCTTGTGGCTGCTGGTGGGACAGGAGTGAGGGGAGACAAGATACGGCATCCCTAAGGGCATTCCTTTAAGGACCTACTCTCTTCAACTAGGTCCCACCTCTTATAATTTCTACCACCTTCCAATGGTCCATTCAGTTATCAATGGATTAATCCATTGATGAGGTCAGATTCCTCATGATCTAATCACTTTCCATAAGCCCCACCTCTGAACATTGCCTCATTGGGGACAAAACCTTTATTTTATTTTAACTTTTTCTGATGCATTGTAATTATACATAAAATGAGATTTGTTATGCTATATTCATACATGCACATAACAATATTTGTTTAATCTCATTTCCCAATATGTTCCCTTACCCTGCCCTTCTACCTCCTCTGATCCACTTTACTCTATTGATCTCCT